CGCGGATGTGTCGAAGTGGCATAAGCGTTGTGCAGTCACACCGACCTTAGGCGATGGTGGCCCGGTGGTAATGTCACCAACTTATCACCCTGGGGATGTGTTTAAATCCCACCACCACCGCTTGACTTTCCGCATTGTGTATTGAATGGCAACCCTCTGAGTGGTCACTTTCCCCTTCCTAAAAATTGTATCATTGTATATGCAATAAAAGAAAGTAAATTGAAAAAGCACAAAAAGGGAAAATGGTAAGTTGTAAGATATTGGCAAAATGTTTCTGTGGTCACAAACTTGGTCGGTTCAATCGGATGGCGATAGCCTTGGCTGTGGACATTATCCCGTGTCTCACCGATATTGATTGATAAGCTACTGCTTCTAATATGCAACACATTAAGGAAACCTGGTAACCAGAAATTTTTGTTCAAAGACATATTTGGACGGACTGTCACTCCTTGGTTTTAGAAATTTTTATGTGATGGTTTATTTCAAAAGAAAAAATGCTGATTGAAAGGCTAATTTCTGGATCATCTTACGTCACCGGTAAAACGCACTTCGTTGCTAAGCTCTGTCTCGCCATAAATGTGATGCGTATGTTGTAGTTGCAACTCAAAAGCAAATTACCCGGTCAATCTACCTCACTTAGTGTGCATTATTACTGGTTATCCTATGGAATTGAAGACGTAGGATGGAAGACTAGGCGATTGTCGGAAAGGTTTTAAGAACACTGTCCAGCGGAATGATCGAAATGGATGAATGAAGTTGCGACTGGTGCCATTCTAACCTATGCACTCGACACGAGTCAAAAACTGACAATCAATCAACAGGAGTGAGACAGATAATCCTGTGCACGGCCGAATCGACCGCGTCCAAATTGAACCGACTAATGCTGCTGTGATCGCAGAACCGGTTTGAGAAGACATTAACCTTGGTCTTGTTAAGATCAGTGTGCCCGCAGAACATCCACGACTGATGCATCCGGACACAGTTCCCAACACCAATCATTACAATAACTGTACAAATAGACTCTAGAGGTTGTTGCATTGAGTTGTTTTTACATGTTTGACTATGGACTGTAGTGATCTGACGAGAAGTACCTAAAAAAAGTAGATCATTATTTGCCACTTTCAGACTTCTCCGGTAGAACAATGGGTGAATTTTGTAATCTAAACAATATCTATCGATTTGACCTTCTGTTGGAAGTAGCAAGCAAGTACATTTTGCTTTTTGTCATGTAGGTCACGTGCGTGAACTGCTTCCGCACATTGTTTTCACAGGATGTGTAGAGATTTTGCTGTGAAAACTCAGTGTTCAGTGTGCTACGGATTCGCTCATATTTTACAATCTGAAAAATAAACCGCTTTAGCTCTGATATCACTGAAACACGGATATTTGTTATGTCGTTGTAACGTATTTCACTCAACAATGTGATCTTTGCATCACACAATGTCGCCACTAGCTCACGTAAGTCTAAGAACAAACGTATTAAATAAACAAGGAATTTCAGTTATCAACTAAGTTTGGTTTGTGCGCATTAATTCCTCAGATCCAGCGACTAGCTGATAGTTCCTAGCACATGTGCTATCCGTGGTTCTATTATCGAACCGATAACAATGAGAAAGATGGCTTTCATTGGTTGAGATGTTATCAAACCTTCGTTCGGATTGTTCTTGCTAAAGTCACTAATGATCCCCATCAGGACACCTCCACTGGCGGTTAAATGCTGGGTGCCAGCCTCTCCCCGTGTTTCTGGGGCATTTCCCATCTGCTGTCCATAATACTAAGGTGTGTGATAAAAAGTACCTCCATTAAGCACCTCAGTCAATCACTGAACCATAGACAAACTAGTCGTGTTATCGGAGTATCTGCGATCGTTTAGCAATTCGTTCAGTTTTATCTTGTCGACATGGCAGTGCTAGAGATGTGCTCACGGGAGATATGTGTTGTATGAGAGCGCACCTCTTAACCAACATTCTTTTGAAGGGAAAATAATCCGGTGTGCAACGGACAGAAACGACTGAGATGCTGATGTAACACCAAACTTGCCTTTTCGATACTTGATAAAGGGAAACCAGATTTTTAAGCAAATTCTGCATACCTGATTTCTTATGTTGGATTGCTTTGGCCGCGGGTAATATCTTATGACACATCTGAGATCCATGACCATTAAGAATGACACAGGCTACGGTCCCGTTGGCTTGACATTTAGTCACGCAAATGGGTGTTCGAGTTCCTACGATTGGAAGTGGTCAAACATAAATGCTCTAAATGGGATACCTGTGATAATCACCAGGACGATTGCGTGGTTACAGAGTGGTAAACAGGTGAATCAGTGTAAGGCTCACATCTATAAATTTAAGATTCAGTTGATCATACAAAATATGTGAGATAATATGGCTCAAACCGAACAATTATAGTGTGAATTCAAAAACAATTTACCACCCGTTAACAGACAAACAATAGTTAACAAATACCGAGTATAAAATTCGGTAATATCCTTAAATATTTTTCGAAATTAACATTTACCGAAAAGAAAAAGTGCTTAGTGGTATGTGGCATACTTTTGCATTCACTCCTGTTTTGTTTTTACAGATGACGNCAGAGGGTCGAATATCCTTCAAAGGTCAAGACGGTTCGTGGCATCGAACCGACAGTTCACTTCGATGTGGTTGAACTTCTCGGCCGGTAAGATATTGATTATTTCTCCAGTCCTTACGTTATTAGTTGTTTTTCGGAAATCACTTTTGAGGATATTTTTCAGTTTATGTTTCGCTATGATACACATGAAAAGTACTAATATTTAGTCATATTTAATTAGGTGAATCCTCCAAATTCCTGAGAATACATATAGCTCATAAGCATCGGGACATCATTCTGACGCACCAGCAGCAGCAAAGAGGTTGCGGTGATCTACGACCACTAACCCGTTCCATGTCCTGGAAATGAACCTCACTGCGATCAGAGGGCATTCGCTTACCTTTGAGTGCGCAACCTGGGGAAGTGATTGAGGCACACGGCAAAGAATCAGGTATCTCTTCGATATACGGATGACGCGGACGCGAGCCACGATTTGTAAAGTGTAATCATAACCGAATAATATCTTTTTCTACAGCGACGAGAATATTTTTTTCAATTTGCATAACAGAACGTCATACGTTGCGGCTTAAACTGATCAGTTTCTGACTCCACCTACCCCCTCCCCTCGTCTCCCTCTCACTGTTCTCTCAATCTTCCTTCACACGCCTGCATTACCTACCTTGACTGAATTATTTAGAGGAAAGTTTGGGCGTGTAGTCACATGCAAAGAGAAAACAACTGGCAAACTGTACGCGTTAAAAACATTCCGCTCAACGAGACTGGCCCGACATAACGGTGAACTGATGGAGGTGGCTGTTCTCCGAGCTGTGGGTAAACATCCCCAGATAGCATTTATGCATGCCGCTTATGAAAATGGATCTCAGTGTACCATTGTAACAGAACTGTAAGTGTATCTTTCTATTTTTTAACTTGTTTTTAATTATAGGATCACTCCGAACGATTCTGCTCATGAACGACTTGAGGGAATTATGATGATGAATTATGAGAAAAAGGCCACGAATTAGATGCCCGTTAACCAGAAAACCTGTTAATATTATTACAGATGCGGAATAGAATGTCATAGTTAACTTGTCTTTGATGTTCAGTCATTCCCAATTGGCAACTGTCAAGCTCGACGAACAACTGAACAACAAGTTGTATTACCCGAAATACAAAAATAACAATCAACACTTGTTTACAAAACTGTCTTAACTCAGATTTGTCTACAACTGTGATAAACTGCTCTGGTCAGTACCTTCAATCTTATCGAAACTCATCAGCGCGGCATAAGTTTGAATCGAGGCTTCCGACTGAAGCGCGAACGCTCGAGATGGAAATCAAACCTTTAGATTCAAGCCACAGCTAGTGCGAATGTAGGCGTTAAGTTGAAATTATATTGTCGGATTACCCTATTTGGTTTCGTGGATATTATGTCTAGCGCTTTGTTTTATTCTTTTGAAGTTCATTGAATCCTCACAATTGCAATGCACTTAATTGTGTAATATGATTTTTTTGCAATGAGGCAATCAAACAGTAACCTGCTGAATATTGTTTGCTTTACTTTTGCATATGTGCGATTATTTTCATGTCATGAACAAGATGTACTCATAGTCGAGTTTTGGTGAATAAACCGTGATTCATCAATTAATTGTTAGCAAACCAGTGTCCCTGTGGGCACTGCTGCACGTGTCACTAACTCCGGGACGATTTATCGACCAATTCCGTTGTCACAACACAAAACTATGAAATATATCCTATCTCTCTCTCTCTCTCGCAAGATACCGGTTCAGTCCTTTTGTACATACATACATACATACATACATACATACATACATACATACATACATACATACATACATACATACATACATACATACATACATACATACATACATACATACATACATACATACATACATGCATACATACATACATACATACACGTACGTATATCATTTTATACACCAGAAGGAGCAGTTATGCTGGATGAGTTGCAGAGATTTCGCTGAGGACTGGTTGCGATTCCAGAGGAATTTTAGAGCGCAGAGCACTAATTATCTAGCTGGCCAAGACAGAAATAAAACTAAATATTGCTGAATTCGCTTACACTTTTCAATCTCTACATGAGACGATTTGGCCCGAGTTTCTTTTTGTACATACCCAAACCTCCTTCACGCATTGTATTTATAAACGCAATGTCATGTAAATTTCAGATTATTTTACAAATACCATTGAAAGCAGTAACAAAAACGGTAAAACCTAGCAGTGTTCGCCTTTAGGGGTCAGTTGGTAAACTGATAGGAGAAGTTCTTCTATTTATTTCTAGTGTGGGAAGCCACAATCTAGCAACTTATACTTACATATAAATATCATGGTTCTGTTTTCTCCTTTGACCTTTTGTTTCAGTGTTTCCGGTGGCGCGTTGTACCAACGCATTCAGGAAGAAGGTACCTTGGATGAAGCAATCACAGTGCGTATTATTCGCCAAGTGCTACTTGGTCTACGGCATTTACAAACATGCCAAGTTTTACATTGTGACTTAAAACCAGAAAATCTCGTTATGCGTAAACCGCGAGGATACGAGTTGAAAATTATAGATTTCGGTCTAGCATGTTTCTACAAACCACCCCAAGCACCTCGACCGCCAGCTGGGACATTGAATTACTTGGCCCCAGAGACACAGAATTATGATCCACAATCATATGCTACCGATCTTTGGAGTGTTGCCGTAATCGCATATGAAATGTGAGTAAGATTGAGTCAGACGAGACCGTGTATCATTGTCTATACTATTATGATTATTATCATTATGACTGTAATAAATAAGCCTTACAGAGACTAAACGAGTTTCGTCATCCAAATTGTAAAACTAATGTAGAACAAAGAGGATTCTTCGTTTATATGTTCATTCTCAACAAAGCAAACTGTATTTATGTTTACTATAACGCAGTATTCTACAAGACGTGTATGTAAGTAATCTGTTTTAAAATGCATTTGGGATCGAATTCGAATAAGCAGTGTGAAATAGCTTCCAGAAGATCCATCAACAAAGCAATCAGTCTCCAGCTTCGGGTAATGTCTAATAAATTTTGATAGATTCTATGAATTAAGTATGTAGTACAGTACAACTATCTTTAACGCCTTGTACTGTAAGAACGAGAATCTCTGTACTTGTGTATTCGAACGATAGAATCTGTCCCTGTCCTCAGGCAAAACTGGACTCAGTGAAGAATTTTGAAACCACTTTTTAGAAGTAAAGATTTTACCAACAATCGCCGACAGTGTGCATTCGTCGATTTTGTGAAGATCGGCACCTGAAATTACAAATAACTGAGTTTCACGCACTATCATTATACCAATCGGAATGAATAGATGGCTTTCTACCACGATGAAGCTATACCATTTCCAAGCACCTATTTCGTCGGCGACTTTCGTGAATAAATAAAACTCAAGTCGTTAGAAACTCCAAGTTCAAGCCCTTCATTCGTGAACGTTGACTTTACCCTTCTGTCATTACACATCTCGTTTCTTCATCTAATATCTATCGATCTTTACTCCTTGTAATTTTACACACCTCTAACGGGATCTGTTTGGCTGCAGTCTATCGGGAATAACACCGTTTGAAATCCCGCATGATGGTGACCCAAATAGGCAGCTATCCAGTCGCGAGATCCTCCTGAACATCACGAAAGTTCGCTACAATTTCAATGATGAAGGTATCGTTGATGCTTCAAAGGAGGCGAAAGATTTCATCAAACGAATTCTCGTGCGAGATCCAAAGTACGTTGCGCTAAATCGGTTATTTTGCAAATGAGAATCACTAATATATATATATATATATATACTTATTTCATTTTAAAATTATTCATGCATTGCAGCTGTCACTGTGAACTATAGTCGGAGGTATAAGATAGCCACTACTAACCCATTTTTATCATCCAAGTTACCTGGACCATCCAATGACTTCTAGGTCTAAGTGGTGGCCCGGTGTTAACGTCACCAATTATCACCTAAGAGGACGTGTTTGAATCGCACCATCACCGCCTACCTTTCCCCGTTGTGTGTGTTTTATGACAGCCCTTTGATTGGGTGCATCCCCTTCCTAAAATTGTATTCTGTCTTATGCCAAGACGAATGATCGATACGTGCACCTCCTTGTCTAGGCCCCAACAATTGGAGAAAACACATGGCTGAGAAACCACAGTCAGAGTGTATTATTGATATTGAAACAACAAGCAAACGTGTGATAAATTGGGCGTACGCGAAAAGACGTGATGACGCGCCAATCAGATCGCTACCTTGGCACTCGGGTTGATCGATCGGACGACGGCTATTTGATTCGCGTTAGTCACGTTAGTCGGCTTGGGCGTCACGAGTGTACTTGTGGTGTGACGCGGGTCGCTGCGTGGCAGTACGCATTCTGTGCGTTCCGTCCCAACAAACTGTATCTTTGTAAACTCAATAAAAGGATGTAAAATGAAAACGAAAAAATAAAATATATGCGCTGGCGTTTGGAATGAACATTCTCAATGTTTTGAGAATTCAATGTTCAATGTTCAATGTTCTTCAATTAGAGGCAGAGGGTAATTTCCCGTATGAGCCTCATCACCACAGACTCGAAGATCTCATTCATGATAGATCTGCATACCACATTGTTCGCAGGACACTGTCGAGCTTCCTCTTGAACATCTTATCATTGACCTCTTCCACCACGTCAGCTGAAAGGGAGTTCCAAAGGTTGGTTACCCTTCGCGATAGCCGGAACCGAAGAGGTAATCCTACGGACGAAAGCTTCAACAGCGTAAGTCCATGTCCACGAGTCCTGGTCTGCTCGCGCAGAGGGAAATACTCCATCAACTCTGGACCCATGTCACCGCGAAGAATACGTCGCACACAGATGATATCACCCCGTACTCGACGATAGGACTCCGGAAACAATCCAGTCGCATGCAGTCGTTCGGTGTAGCAACACCCGCGTAACCCGGCAATCATACGGGTGGCAGCTCGTTGGACTCTCTCCAGCTTCACCATTTCAGCAGTTGTATAGGGATATGCCGCGGCGCTCGCGAACTCCAAGCGAGGTCTGACGTGGGAGGTGTACA